AAAATATATGTATCGTATTTGTCCATAAATAGTTCTGAAGAGTTACCATTCATAATTCTCGTCGGGATACAATACAGAAATAACATCGTATATCTTATTAATACATAAATAAGTCTGTAAAATACCAGCATGCCAAAATTGAAACCAAATATCATTAACTTTAATAGATTCAAATACGTTTATATGTTAATCGTCTTTGTCAATTTTTCAGTAATAAAGGGCCAAAATTCTATTGAATGAAATAAAGTCAATAACAGTCACGAAAACAGCCATAAAGATATAAGTAGGAGATAGATAAAGTATAACGAAAAATGAGTTCCAGTTTAATTAGATTAGTTATGTCTTGTAACATTTCACTTTGGTTTTTTTTTTCATCACGACAACATTAAAAATCCACATAATATGGGAGAAATCTGAAAAGTATCTCATTTTTGGAAATTGAAAGAAATGATAAAATAAAACACACTAAAAATCCTGTATACGTAAATTCCATATGGACATATACACACAATGACATATATATATATATATATACATTCAAACAAAGGACAGTTAAAAACACGAGGGGGGGGAGAAAAAGAAAAAGAAAGAAAGCAAAGAGGAAATAAGTTACAGAGAACAAAATCTGGGATCTGATTCAATAAAACTAAAATATATTCTTTCTTTTCAAATGTCAAACAATCATAATCAGTATAATCAACAGTTAAAAATCACGTATATATATGTATATAATTTAACTTAATAATTGAAATATCTGGAGGGGTTGTACAATCATAGAAAATCATTTGATTATTCTTTTTTTAACTTTTCATGTGACTAGGATCTTATTATTAAAAATGGCATGTAACCAATTTGACCAGGGAAAATGTTCAACTGGTATTTAAACTAATGGTCAACTTGTCTATTGTATATCATAAAGAGTCATCAATGTTTAATAATCAAAGTATGTATGACTCTTGTATAATTAAAATAAATCGGACACTATACAGTGTGCAAGTTGTATTTTATTTTCATTAAAGTTTTAAGGCTTTTGGTGCTTTATTTTTTACCATAATAATTTCCTAAATTCTAAATAGTGTACATGAAATCAATAAGGGTAAGCAGGAGTTTTATTTTCCGAGCCAAACATGATTATAAGGATAGTTAATTTTTTTATTATTTAAAATCACGCCACAGCCGAATCGGTACAAAATTGTTAAGAGATTTAAGAGCCTAAACTTTTGAGCTAAAAACTTATGCAAAAAGCTATCAAATATGTAAGACTACAGATAATAATCTTATTTTGTACAAAAAAGATATAAAATATAAACTTTGTCCATTACGAATGTTGTTTATTATGGATATCACTTAATAAATCACCACTCCAATTGTAATGAGTTACAGCTGATGATTGTAGTTAGAGATTATAATGAGTTCAATGGATCGATGTGAACTTTGCATGATCAAATTTTATTTTATACTGATACACGTGTGACAGTAAGTCACTACACACAACAGCGATTATCCTAAAGTTTTCAGCTCGTCATGTGATCACTTTTTCTTAAATCCAGCTTTCTGTTAATTCTCTTTATTCCAAAAATCCAAAAGTTATGCTTGGATGTCACTGACATTACCTTGAAATGGAAGATGTGTGAAACAATATGACCTTTGGAAACTTTCAGAGATTTTCTGAATGAATAAAATGAGGACGGAGTATTACTAATAAGAGATGTGTATATTATGGAGTATGATTAATATTTGACTATTTGTTTGCTCATTGTGATAACATTAATGAAAATGGCACTTCAAAGTTTAAATAACCGGAATCTTATTCTATTTATCGTAATGCCAATTGAGTATCTGTGGAGATTTGTTACAAACTCAAGATAGTTTTTATCATGAAATTACATCGGCCGAAGACTTATACTAGACAACCAGGTATTAACTGGCCATTACAAACTGTTTTTTGTCTATTTTTAAACTTATGAAGATTTGCGCAATGAAGACTGTAAGATATTAGAAAACAAAAAGTTATTTCGCTAAGTACTTCATGAGACTTAGACTATTTGTTGGTCCTAGTTCTCCATTCACTAGACTTTGATAAGTATCTGTTGAATAGGTTTAAATATCAGCTCAATCACCATGTATTTGATCTGAATATTATTTAAAGCAAGTTCATTACACGAGCTTCCCATTCAGATCTTATCAAAACTAATTCAGACGAATGTAGGTCAAATATTTTAGGAAACAAAGTCTTACTGATAGGTCCTGCGTTCGAATCCCGCAAGCGGGATCGTGGATGCACACTGCTGAGCAGTCCCATAATAGAACGAAACGGCTTCCAGGTCTTCTATGGGGGTCTAGCTTCAACTGACTCATGATCTCAAGTATTGAAACTCTTACGCGTTGAATAGTATTGATGAGATTTCTTCGAATTAATATCATGTTCCAGTTTCATTATAGCTGTTAGTTTACTAAGATGAAAATACATTTTATTTTACTGCATAGTAAAATTTCATATGAAGAACTTGTAAAAAAAAAGATACAGTTGTAGTAGAAAATCCTTTGCATATGACTGCCGATATACAATGACAATATTTCTCATTTAAACATATGACTTTATAGTTCAACTATAATGCAAACGTTCATAAATAAATCATATATATTTACATCACAATAATATATATATTATTCTGGTGAATATACATTTGAATTCCTGATATTTGGCGACTTACTGTAAGCTTTCTCTTCGGATTAAATAAAATACATGAAATATGTTCACACTTTTATTTGATAAGTTGCTTGTGATGCATTTCTGAAGATAATTGAATACGGTTTATTCTATTATATAACATTCGGTGTATGTTTTTATCAACCACGAACTTGACTTCAACTAATCAATAAATACAGAAAACTACTTTTTAGTTCAGTTGACAAGTATAGAAAAAGTGAAAAAAAATCTAGGCATCTAATATCCTTTTTCAGTGTATAATGGATGAATTAGATGATAAAATAGAGGACAGTAGGTGAAATCCCTTTTTAAAAAAATGCAGCAAAGTTTTGATTAATACACCTATTATATCTGCAGTTCTCCTTAGAAGTTTATATAAATCCTTAGCAAACTACTTTATAGAGAGTTTTCAAAGATATAATGACTTTCTTGAGATACATCTATGTTGTTAACACCTATAGTATAAGATAAAACTGCAACACCATCCTGATTATATAATGATGAAATATGTATGTGTTAAATTATTATTCTACAGAAATAAGAATATTGTTGAGGATATTTTAAATTAAACAAGTCTACTAGAATATCTCGTATAATTGTTCGTACAAACAGCAAACACTTTACAATGCAATTAATCCAAAGTAAAAGATTTCTGTCCTACTTAAACAAGTCCACGAAGTTGTGTATATCGTTTCTTGAGTTTGACTGTTGATATCTTACCTCTTCATATAAATAACTGTGAACTACGAGTTATATTAGAAATGAACTAAATCCGTACAATTATAACAAGACTAAGGGAAGTTGAGACTTAGTGACAATTTTTAAAGCACTGTACTATAAATGGTTATGCAGTCGATACCTAGTGATTTTTGAATGAACTGAAAGATCAATTATTAGAGTTTATGATCAGATGCTTTAGTCATTGTTAAATATATTAAGGTTTAATAGCTTAATGGGTATTACCAAGTATACAAAGTTACAGAAACGAAGTTATAAAAGGGATAATTATGATAAAGAATATTTATGTGAACAACTGTTTACCATAACTTAATTATCAGACATTTTATTCAGATGGTTTAATTTACTAAATCGGTTAGAATCCGATAACTTACAATCGGTTTTCCGGCTACATTTTCGAAATGATATTTTAAATTTACAGTTGACAGATTTTAGATATATTGAAACTCTAAATGATGCAAAAGTTTACAATTTTAACATATAACACTATTCATTTTAATTATTCATATGTGCGGAACCGCCTCGTGAGATTCACACCGCTGAGGAGTCTCATACTAGGATGAAACGGCCCTCCAGTGCTTACAGGTTTTCCATCGTGGTCTAGCTTCAATCGACCCATAAATTCAACTACTATATTACTAAAATATCCACAAAACCCCTTTTTGATTATGTTCATACGTGAAATTTCGAGCACTACACCAAAACGATTATGGACTTGTAATTGAACAACCTGATAAAGTTACTAAAAACAACAACTGCTCACTTACATATTCTTTTTTCGGAATATTCTATGGAGGTAACTGTAAGTAATTTCCTGGAACGAGATTGAATACTAATAGAATTTCTATCCATCCGTATAGATCACCAAACTCTCAAAGGTACTTTGCAAAATATAGAGTCAAGATAATTTACTTTTGTAGAAAGATGTTTTATGAAAGTATTAGGTCGGTTCACTTTTTGTATATAATTATATAAGTTAGGTTTAGATACCGTTGGATTTTCTTTTTAATTCATTAAATCAGATTTATGCTTAAGATCATATTTAACTACGAAAATAGAATTGCTGATATTTATTAAATTTGCTTCAATACCTTAAATGCAAATATTGTCAATTTTCAGTCAGTAGTTTCATCTTCGTTGTTTCACTGTTTTGTGTCAGCGTTTTATGTTAGCGTTCGGGTGCGAGACCTAAATCCCTAAGTTCGAACTCCGCGGGCGGGGTCGGGGATGCGTACTGCTGAGGAGTCCCACAATAAGATGAATGGGCCGTCCAGTATTTCCAGGTTTTCAAAAGTGGTCTAACATCAATCGGTTCATGATCTCAATCAAAAAAGTTGATACTTTCCTTTCTAGAAATCCGACTTTATTTAATCTAAACTGAGTTTCCGCAAGCACGTTTTCTGATATTTGCAACAAAAGTTTTCTATTATCTGTCCAAGAGAAATCTTAGTATTGGTCATGTCCTTTTAAAAAATTGTTAATGGAACCCACATAATAAACGTCATTACAAGCATATCCATCATATATCTTTAACATTTTTTTAAATATTCAGCACTCATTTAGGTGGTAACTCACGTCATTTGAAACAAAAGCATATTCAAAATTACAAAGATATGGCAGACAGAAGTCTTCCAAACAAACTCAAAAAATTAACAAGTAAACGAAGGGAAAAATCGAGAAAGTTTGGTCAAAACTGGCAGAGAAGAAGGAATGAATTACTTAAACGTCGAAGATATCGCCAACTTAAGGCCAAAACACAAGCATTTATTCAGTTAAATAAATTATATCAGCAGAAAGCTGGCATATTAATGTTTACTCCTGAACAAAGAAAAAAGAAAGAGTTTTCTCAAGGTAAAAGAAGGTCTAAAAGGGCAGCTACAGCTTATGTTTCAAGAACATGGACAAACGGAGTTATTCCATACATAATACAAGCAAATTTTTCAAGTAAATTTAACTTTCTTTTAATCCATATGCTTAACTTTGAAATTTTCATTAAAAGGAGCAGGGAAAATGAAATAGGTAATGATATCGGTGATCAATTTTTCACTCTATATATTTTTCTAAAGAGGTTTTTACTACCCATTGTGACATCCTAATATGATCAATGATAATGAAATATTTATCCTATTTCATTTCGTATATGTTCTATAAACTTAACACATTTATGATGACAGTATATCAAAAGCCAAGAAATTGGTATTTTGGATACTTATATTTCAGACACGCTAACACTGAACGGCAGGAAATTGACAAAAGACAAAGTGACTGTATAAATCATCGGGGCACGGTAATACACTGGCTCGGAGAATAATAAGCTGATTCAGTTTTCATAAGTTATTTAAAAAATACGAAAAAGAGAGGAACACTTAGGCACTTTTGTGTACATGCATGTATAAAACAAGATCATGGTTACACGTGAGCAACTAACAAGAAAGAATCTATGGGTTGTGAAATGAATTGAAAGAATTGTATAGTTCATCTGTTCGATTAAGTCACATAACAATATTAACTGTTACAGGTTAAGTTCATGTCACTGACAAATTCTCGGTGACTTTTTATTAAACCGGGATGATTTAGATCAACTTTTTTACTTCTGATCATTTTGAGCACTTTGAAGATATAAATCCATTAACTGAGCTCATGAATTTTAGCCAGCCACAGTATTTGAAATATATCAAACTTTACCATATTTTTAATCAGGGTTTACTGATTAAGAAGAACTGTCTCACTATTTAACCAGCTGAAGTGGAAGGAATGTGTACTATTCAAATGTAGGAAGCAATTCATTAAATTTAGTTGTTCAATATTACGCTCTGTCACTAGTAAGTAGTAGTAATGCATGAGATGACACCTCGATACTTCTGCAGATCGCTTCACTCAGTTCATATGCAATGGTAGTAATAGTACTGAATAGCTATTGAATAGTCCAAACACTTACTGATTTGTCTGTCCTCCGTGAGGAATTCGCTATTTGAATATGTGGGAGAGAAAAATACTGGACTTTACATTAATACCTGAATAGTTAATCTGTTATATTAGATCACTGTAATAATGATGCGGAAATATGTACGTTGAATTTCGTTATGTTATTTGCGCTACTTATACTTATTGAAAGTAGCCAAATGTCGATAAACAAAATGTTTAGGGGAGCTGAAAACAGTTATGTTTAATTCAATTCCAGTTTTTGAAGTAAATGACTTGCTTTTTTTAACGATCTATATTTGTTTTCAACGAATAAACCTTAGATGCGCTAAAGAGACTGATGAAACTTAAATTCTGTAAAAATGGTTATAGATGCTGTTCTGAAATTCTTTTACTTTATTTGCTTTTTAGGTGAGACTAAAGCTACAATTATGAAAGCTATGCGACATTGGGAAAATTATACCTGTCTTAGTTTTGTTGAAAGGCAACCACACCACAGATCCTACATAATCTTCACTGAAAAGGCATGTGGGTAAGTGTTTAAAGAAAGAGAAAAAGATTAAGATTTGAGGGTAATTTTAATTGTACATTTATAGCTTCAAAAACTTAAGATTTTGAATAGTTAGACAAATGCAACCGTTTGTGAATTAATAATTCGTCCAATTTGTTCAAACAAATTTTGTATCCGTAAAAATTGGTTTCCACAAATTATGCATCGATGATAGAATTATGTAGATAATATTGAGGAAGGTATTACTTGGTGGACTTTATAATTATTTTGAAGGATACTGTTTTTGGCTGCAGCAATTTTGGTTTACTGAAGTCTTGATTAGATTGTGTAATTACTATTTCTCGTCTTCAAAACAATAATGTTTCGTGTTCAGTTTTACTGTTCGGTTATGCATAATTCCAAATGAATATAGCCAACTTTGAATATCAACACAGTGTGGGTTTTTTGGATATAAGATTACGATGTAGGTTAATTTATTTGATCACATTTATAATTGATCAAGTTAAACATTGAATCCATACTAATGTGACGAAATTGTGAGGTCAGATACTAAGTGTATGAATTATGTCTCCTTTGGTAACTTATCTATGATCACTACTGTTCATGAAATTCATTAGTCTCATTACAAATAGAATGCAGTAAGTGAATAATTTTTTACTTCTTATTCATAATTATGCGAGCGTTCACCTTTTGTATGATCAGTTTTCTGATCTATGAACACTAATACCAATGATATGGGAGATTTAGTCTATTAGGATGTGACTATGAACAGCAAACTAAAGTCTTAGGAAAAGAAAGTTAACTTTCCTTATTTGAACTGTCATTGATGATATATCATTCGAGATGTGACAAAATTAAAACAAATGAATCATACTACTTACTAATACCCAGTAACACAAAAACATAATTTTAGCTTCAAGATATAAACTAGTTGAATTCAGGAGTCAATCTGAGCTAGATCACCATTGAAAACTGGAAGCACTGGATAGCCGTTTCGTCCTAGTATGGGACTTCTCAGCAGTGCACATCCATGATTTTGAATTTCCTCAGAGAGTTGCTGTAAAATATTTCTTCTTAAGTACTCATTATTATTTACAATTTTAAAAAATAATAATAATAGGTGTTGTTCATACGTGGGACGACGTAGCGAAGATGAACCACAAGCCATATCAATCGGAAAAAATTGTGACAAGAAAGGGATAGTAATTCATGAACTTGGTCATGTGATTGGATTTTGGCATGAACACACTAGACCTGATCGAGATGGTAAGTCAAGTCTTCATATCCGGTGACCATTAACATAACCTTGAATGTTTTCCCTATACTCTATTGAGTATTTATTAATTTCTAAGCATAAAACTATCACAAAGATAGATCATGAGATAATGACAATAATTTTGGTCCATAATTTAATACTGATTAACTTCGTTTTCACTTTGGGTGGTATTTCTGTGGTTTCATACTAGTTCCACTTTGCTGTTTTAGACTAATTGTACATTCTAAATAAAAATAAGTCCACAATAGTTCAAATGTTTAAAAATTCTTTAGTATCAAATTTTCAATTATGACCTACAATAGGAAATACCTTGTTGTTTTGTTTAGTATTCACTTAACAATTTGGGGACACTTAAAGTCGCCAGTTCTCCAAAAAAGTGGTGTCAATAATTTTGGAGTAAATTCTTTTACATGAAGGGATAACAAAGAACTGTTTTACAAGAGTCAACTACTAAATGTTGAGCTTGCTTACTTACACCTGTTACCCCTCGTAGTAGCTAAGCCGCCTACCAGAATTCTCCAACCAACTCTGTTCTGGATTCTCTTTTCCAACTGTCTCCATGTTCTATTCATTCTTTCGATGCCTGCTCCCAGTCCCCAGCACACTGTGTTCTTTGGTCCGCCTTTTCTCTTTCACTTTGAGGATCCCAAGTTAGGGCTCGGCTCGAGATGCCGTTTGATTATTTCCGCAATATGTGTCCGATCCACCTCCAGAGCTTTTTCCTAATTTCTTCAGCTAGAAGCTAATCCGTTCCTTGTCACATCGTGTTACTGCTGGTGGTATCCGACGGATCTGGAGTATCTTGCTTAAACAATCGTTTATAAATACCTGTACTTTTTGATGATGTTTGCAAAACTTCTCTAAATTTCGGCTCCGTATGACATATAGGGCAACACTTCAAAATTCTTTCCAAATAACTCCCTATTGTACATAGGTGGTAAGTTATTTCATTATCAGGCGCGCCACTTTTAGAAATGCTTGGATTAAACAATAATAATGTGATTAATAATTCAGATACTTCTTGAAGACTCTGAACAAACAATATTGTTGGGGACGTTAGATCCCCAAAACTCATACTTTGTAATTTTATCTTTTTGGAGCTTGTATGCAGATGTATGCTTGTGCATTTCTTAACACCCACGCACATAGTCGATTGACGAACTTATCGATTAAATGTTTAAAGACTTCCATGTCAATATCGATATATATATATATATATATATATATATATATATATATATATATATATATATATTTGTATTAATACGCTTGTTTTGTGCTTGATGAACCTGGTATTTTCTGGTTGCCTGTAGAATACACTTTCTACATCTTACCAAGACTTCTGAATCGAGTTAGCTGAGTCGGCGACAACGGACCAGTATAGCCTATCGAGTCTTTGAATCCTTGATTCTTCGTTTTGTTCCGAGTAAGACAAATCAGTAGTAGCATTCAAGTTAACGAACATAACAAATATGTGATATTCCACGTCGCTTATTTGTGACCACAGACCACTCACTATTCTACCTGCTTAGGAAATAATTTCCTCGATTTTCCATTAAAAACTATGAAATATGTTTGCCAGTGGTAAATTATTTATATCATTGTCAAATGCAGGTTTCTGGATGGTAAAACTGATGTTAAGCACAACACAATTAGGTCCTTGACTGCTTGTATCAGTCGGTTGAAAAACTTTGACCATGATAGATGAGAACGATAACTTCTAGAGATTCAAGTTAAATGCCTGTGCTGAAAATCAATTTCTTCTTCCTTCATCCCACTCTGTAAGTAGGCTATCTCATTTGTCTGTATTTGTTTATTTAATTTAGTGTTTCTAGATTTTTTTACAATCTTACTGCTACAAACTTTATACGACTTCCGACAGCTGAGTCGGAGTTTCGAACCCAGCTTCAACTATATTCGTCAAGGCAAATGAGTACTATCATTAGGTCTCACGTATAACAACGTGGCATGCAACCTAATCTTGAAACCCTTACTTGGTAAATGAGTTACGGGATCGGACTGAAATCGATAAATAACGTTTGTTTCAGGTATCAGAATAGCGAATATAATCTGTTACCTAATACCTTTAGATAGTTTACTAACACAAGAATTTCCATTCTTTAAATTTATGCTTCAATAATTCTTTAAAATTATCAAAAATGATTTCCTTGTACATTTACTTGCAGAACATGTAGATATTCTACTCGATAATGTTGTTGAAGGACAAGATTTTAATTTTAAAAAAATGGATCCAGGTGAAGTGAACTCTCTTGGTGAACCATATGACTATAGTTCTATTATGCATTACGCTAAAGGAACATTTGCTAAAGCGAATAAAGATGAAACAATTAGACCAAAAGCTTGTTGTCCACGACCACCTATTGGTCAACGTATTCAGTTAAGTCCTGGTGATATTCGACAAACGAATAAACTTTATTTATGTCCAGGTAATTATTTAAATTTATGATAACATGTTATTGTTTCTGTTAAAGTGGGCATTCTGTGAAGATCGTTCAGTCTAAAACTAGTTTGCATCATGGACTAACAAAGTGCGAATGAACCACTGCAAACTGAAGATGGGTGGATAACTGTTTTTTTCCTTCTATGAGACTATTTCTATTTTTATACAGATTTTTATATCAGAAATCACAGTACTATAATTATCTGACTTTGTTTTCCATTATTGTGTGTGGAATAGCAAATTACTTAGTTTTATGTCACGTAAATTTGGAATTGCCCGTTTCCAAGGGATTTAAGAATAAAGTAAACAACTATAAATTACTCTACAATCTTCAATGATTGATCATCTGTTACCAGTTTATGACGAGCATTACCTCTAAGTTGTAGGATTTTTTCTGTCATTTTAGCTACTTCAACTGTTCAGTTCATCAACTGTTATAACTATTGACATGAAGATTGAAAGATATTAAAAGTACATAAAAATGACCATATAACATTGGGCGAGACATCTAAAGGTAGTGAAGTGTATCATGTGTGGTGTCATAAGTTCAAACCACTAAGGAGTTCCTAAACAACAATGTAACAACTGACTAATGCTTTCTGTTTTTTTCAATGATTCCTTGATTAACGTTATTTCATAATGGAGACTATTCTAAAGCTATCCGAATCTTTAGGGAAAATTTCACTACTACATATGTTTTGATGGTAAATAAAGTGTTCAGTATACAAACTAAATCCAATGATAGAATATCCCGTTTGAATATTTCTCTTTATTTAAACTAGATTATCCAAGCATTCGGTATAAATATTTCCTCAAACATTTTATGTTTCATGTGGTTTTACTTGGTACTGTGTCCAGGGTGCTGTATGTTATTTCTGTCTGTATCGCGGTTTATTATTAATTTGGTACCATTCTTCTAGTGTATTCAATAACTTGTTAGTACTTTTTTCCTCTCTCTAATTCAGATATTCATGCTGAAAATGCTCATATTTTTTAATTGAATTTCTAACGTAACTCTGCATTTTTACTTCAGAATTTCCAGCTTTTCTCCTACGAAGCTTCACAAATGTTAATAAGCCACCGTTCAAATTATTTGAAACAACCTCCATTTGACGTATTATGTATGTATTGTCGAGAGCTGTATAACTACGATAGTTTGATTATCTTTCAGAGAGAAGAGATTTTCTTGAAATTAGCAACAGTAATAATAGTTGTAGGAAAGTAAAATTCATCTAATGAAATAAGCAACAGTTTACTTATTTCCTTTGGTCTACTTACTTACTTACTTACGCCTGTTACTCCCAAAGGAGCATAGGCTACCGACCAGCATTCTCCAACCTATTTGTTTTCATACTTAGAGACTAGAACCAAGGTAAATTGTTACGTACTTTACAAACAGAATACTGAAAATAAACCTAGAACAAAATTATCATGTTTATTTGGATAGTTTCAAGGGATAAATTTGATTGGAAGACCATTTGAAATCGAAATTAATTGGAGACCTTTCTAAGAGCACGAATCAGTAAATATTAGTTCTCAGTTTAAAACTCGTTAACAGGGCCACATACAGACTTTACACTGGATGATATTCAGAAAGTTTGGGTCTTTTTGTGTGGATGATAAATTTAAACTAATCATATGTGATTCAGTCACTAGATAATATTTTTGAATGTTATGAGCGACGTATTTTAATTCGAACTGAAAACCATTCCAAGGTTACTTGTTTTCGAGTACATCGTTATTGTTCGATTATATAATTTGTAGAGATATGTTCGATTTGCAAATAGTTTTCACCACGGTCCATTGAGAAGCCGCGATTAGCAGAACTCAACCATGTTATGAACGAACCAGTTTTCGACGACATTAAATGATTGCAAGTTGATTATAACTGGAAATGAAAACTACCGGATTTCATTGCATTAGTCTAAATGTGTTGCAATTGATATAATATCTGGAGACCAGAAGCCCGACTTTATGTGATGCCGTAGATTTGTACCACTAAGGAGTCTTGAGTGAAGATAATGTCCAGCTGATATCAGTTTTTAAATAAGATTATCATCAAATCAAACTTATCCCTTCAAACCACCCAAATAAATATTAAAAATGTTTTACTCTCCGTTTATTTTCAGGGTTCCCTTTAGTGTTAACATGAATGTAATTTGACTTCAAAATCTAGGTTTTATAATCAAATAATAAACCAATATCACTCGTTAAAGTAAAGTGGCTGTTACGTAACTGTTTTGTTTCGTAAGTTTGCTACAGTATGTAGGTTCGGCTAATAAAACTATAAAACCAATTCAATTTAACTATTAAAAGGTTTCTGGTGTCTATCGGTACTCAAAATATTTAAGTTAGGTTTTATGTATTATGTTAATACTAATATTAACACGTCAAAATATTCATTCTCTTTTATTTGTTACACATTAGGGTCTATTTTATTTATTTTGGTGCCATTTTGTTCATTTGTTTAAACGAAATATTTTTCGCTGCATTTTAGCATGTGGTCGTACACTTCTAGAACCAGTAGGAAGTTTGTCTTCACCACAAATGGCATGGAAATTAGAAGATCGTTTCGGTGGTAATGCCAACTCTTCATTATTTCCCGATCCGATAGGTTTAGAGCAGTCGATTCAACTAGGAAATGCTATATCAGTTGATCATCTTTTACCTGATGATAACGAGAATATGTATCATCCTTATCGATCATTAACAAATGGTAATACAATTGATGGTGGTGAAGATCATAGTTTAATCGGTATGGTCAATGATAATAATTATCAGTTAAAAACAATTCCATATAATCCATTTAAAGGATCATTCAATAATGAAGAAGTTCCATTGATAGCAATGAGTCGTTTATCTAAGTTATCAAAAACAAGTTCATCATCTACTTTAGGTTTCACATCAGCTAGTCCTATACTTTGTCAATGGAGAATAAATGCTGCATCAGGTGAACGGATACGTTTAAATTTTACACACATGGATATATCTGGACCGATAACACAGGATTCTATACATACACCAAATAATTTAAATAATTTACATAAAGCATATGAATTAAATCAAAAAAGTATCAATCGTATCTCATGTATTAATGATTATGTAGAAATAAGAGATGGATATTATTCTGGTTCACCATTAATTGGTAAGTTAACTTCTTTCTACGAATATTTAAATAAGAGACAAACAATTTATCATTCCTCCTATTAACTAATTACTCAGTAGTGACCAATATTAACTAATCTACTTATTAGTGATGATAAAGTTCCATGAATCAAGTTGCCATTCAATGATTAGGCGAAATGGCTCGAAATCTCACTGTATGTATTATAAGGTTGAGGTGATAGGTGAAAATTCTTGGATTTAAATTTTAAGTTAGTTATGATTGATCAGTATATTGTATCTGTGATCTTGAGAGAATTGAATTTGTTTTCAAGATTTGAACCAATCATGTTATGATATCGTGGGAGCTAATTTGACTATGATAATTGTCAATAATCACGTAATCTAGATCATAAATGCATTTTCATAAAACAAATTTTTTTCATTTTAATGTGAAACTATCTTATCATATATGTTGATATATTGAATTTACTATAATAATTTACTTCATTTCACAGGGCTAGGAGGTTTTCATTTTGAATTGTTTCACCGTTAATCAACTCTAATATAAAACAATACTTATCATTTGATACTAACTGTGGATATTATAGTAATTTCAATGGTTGAGATCATGAGTCGATTGGAGCTAGAGCACCATGGAAAATCTGGAACCTATGACCTAACAGTTTTGCGCGCGAGCGCTTAACCACTAGACCACTGAGCCGGCATCCAACAATGTTAATGTCTAACTTCAACCAATTCAGCATATAGAATTGTTTGTTAGAAGATTCAGACTTTAACCATTGACTCTAATCAAAGTTTTTGTATTGAATTAAATAATGTAATTTCATAACTAAGTGAATTATTATCTCTGACCATTGTATTTAAATCTAGTTTTATGCATTCGTCCAATGAGAAATAAGGATGAATCTTTAAATGTAGCATACACTTTTACTTAATCATTAATATTTGCCAGTTAACTACAATGTTTATGATTACTGACACCCTTTTACTAAACTTTAATAACCTGATTATATACCAAGAAATTACTTTATAAGTTAAAATCTCCTGTTCAAATATGAAGTTTTTTGATAAAAGTTAGAAAGGTGATTATACTTCATTCATAAGTCTTAAGTTCAAATAATGTTCATTTAGAATATAAATCATCGGTAATATTATGAGAAATACGTATTTCATTAATGTTGAAAGCTTATTATTCACAACTTTTTCCGTATGAACTACATCAGAAATAGATTAGTTTACATGTTGTTTCCTATAGATTTAACATTAGTGTGTTATTATCAATTTGTATACAATATTCTTATTTTGCAAATTTTTTTTTCCGATCTTTATTTAGGTCGTTACTGTGGTCAAAATTTACCTCCACAGTTAATTTCAACTGGATCACGTCTTTGGTTAGAATATAGAAGATCTGCTGGGAGTATGACTACAGGTTTTATCGCTGATTATGAAGGTGATAATTAAATGATTTAATACTGTCCTTTTCATTTACTTAAAGTATCCTAATTATTTTGTACACTATTTTCCAACTCATGTTTACTTACGCCTGTTACTTCTCTTGAAGGAGCATAGGCCGCTCACCAGCATTCTCCATCCAACCTTGTCCTGGGCAGTCCTTTCCAGAAAAAATAATTTTCCAACTCATGCTTCTTAAGTTTATACATTTGAATAATGAATTATGTTAACTTTTTGAAATTCTCTTCATTGCGTAGAATTCTGTGATGAAAAATCTGAATTTCAATTGGAATTTGTGTCTTCTGATGTAAGATAAACATTCATGAATTTCAGCAATATTTATAACACTTACTCATAAATAAATCTTAGCTGTAGCGTTAACAGGAATTCTTCATGTAAGTGTCAATGTGAGGTTTCAGAAAGAAAACAGTCATTTATTTAAAACTTCATGGCTCCGATAGGAAGAGCACTAAAACTTACATAAAACCATCAATTCACTCATTCTATTTCACTACTTCTTAAGATTTCAAACAAAATGTGCAGAAAAAGTACTCTGAAGTTTACATGTTCATAAATATTTTCCCCTTTAGCTATATGTGGTGGAGAATTACAAATGGAAGAAGGGACACTAACAAGTCCAAATTACCCTGAATTTTATCGACCAAGTAAAGAGTGTGTTTGGCAAATTATTGTTCCCGTTGGTTATTCTGTTGCATTGATATTTCATTCATTTCAGGTGAGTTAAAAGTCTATGATTAAGAAATTCTGTGTATGTTTTATGATGTAGCACCCAGTGTGGATTTGAATAGTGTTCAGTCATTTTTTTTTACATTTTACAACCTTAAGCTTCAAGTTGAGTGTTTCCAGTGCATAAAAAGCTATTTTAACAATAACAAAACAATTAAGTCTGTTTTAGTAAGGTTGTAATACAGGGATCCTTAACTGGCTTTGTATGAATGATGATCTATAAACATTGATATGATAATAAATATTTATATTTAGGTCTGCAAATATTACTTTTAGCCTAAATATTTTCTGGGGTTGATTTTTCATAGATAGATCATTAGAATTCATCACAATCAGTATTTACGGTACAACGCTAATCGTAGAACTATACAACTATAGAGACTTTTGTGGACACATTAAACTGATTATTTGTCGCTAAATAATGTTTAAAAAAAAATAGAAAAAAGTAATCAAAATGGTTCAATTAACCTGTTTGTCATGCAGTAAAAGTGCTCTATATCATCAAGTCAACTGATGATGAAATTTTGAGTATAGCTTAATTTTAGATCTATATTCTAGCTCGATACCTGTTGGCTTATAAGTGAACAGACTAAATAAATGTTCATTTTCAGCTGGTTTGTTTAATTCTTATTTTTTTTCTTGAGTTAAGCATTCATAACCTGGATTGTTGATCTTTTCATTTTCTAAAATGATAATTCACAGCTAGAAAAACATGATACCTGTGTATACGATTACCTAGAGGTACGTGATGGTTTAAAAGATACATCCCCACTGCTGAAAAAACTATGTGGATCACATCTACCCACTCCAATTAAATCGACCAATAATGTGATGTATGTAAAATTTGTATCAGATAGCTCAGTAGAAAAACAAGGATTTACGGCCACATTTCAGAAAGGTAATTTAAAATTAGTTATTTGATAATATATTTACAGCAAAATTAGTGAGAGATTTACTTTAATAATTTAAACTGCTTAACAGTATAATTGTAATGACCAATTTCTTTAAAGTTTCGACGTCCACAATATCTGCATAGCTAGGTTGTGTAAATAAAGTGTGAAAGTTAGCTTAAAAAAAGCACAAATCAGTAAACAAGTGTGATTAGTTTGCTGAGAGACCTAAGTAAAACTGAAACTGATAAGTCTTCTAAGTGAACGCTAGATTCGGTTCCTAAGCACTTCTATTAACCCTCAGGCTAAATCTACACAGTAACCTGAACACGAGAGAAAAGGCATGAAATATAGAAGAAACGCATTACTCCAAGGTTCGTTCGTGTTCAGAAAATCTAAGGTATTTATAACATTTTAGATGGCCTTAGGCTTCCAGAAAATTCTGAAACCCTGCTAAACATAGTAGCAGTATAATTAATCATCCAATTAGAAACGCGACCTGTGACTTTTTACTTTCTAGATGTTTCTGGCAAAACATCTATTGAATGCTGATTGAATAAGGGGTTTCTCAGAGTTTTCAGAGTCTTTTATGGCATTTTTCGAGGAATTTTCTGAGTCTCCCCAACAGAAACAAATTTATTTTATTTTTTTAAGGTTTTGGAAACTATGTAAAAAATTTAATTAATGAATAAACTCAGAAAATTATTGATTTACGAAAACCTGAATATCCAAATTATGTATATTATTGGCCTTATTGGAAATAATCGATACATCTGTAAGGAACTAAATTATTCAATAGAATATTATACTAATTATGTATTATCCATTTACTGTCAGTCATTAAACACTTTTACCTTAGTAAAAGAATTGTTCGGCACCAATGAACTAATGAAATTTTTGACTAAGAAACATTGACGTAGGGACTATTGATATTCATAAAAGGTTGTGTATTTTAAGTATTTATTCCAGTCTATAAATGATCTGTCATAAATTTTTAATACAATTTTGGTTCTACCAGAATAGAAGAAGAATTCAATTCATTGACTATGTGTGTGATATTTAAATCATTTCGTTGTGTATTTAGTTACGTATACTGTTTAACGGTCAAGAATATTAGAGATAACCTTGATCTGTAGGATTATTCACTAGCGTTACAAAAAAATTTATATCACTAACATTTTAGAGGCAATTTATCACGTCTGATTATTGAGGCGAGAATGGAATCTACACAACAGTCGACTTTAGGATTATTAATTTGAATGTTCCTGTGATATAAAATTGTTGATTCTCACCTGTCAAGTGTTCAAAGCTAAATACTGTAATCAAGAAATGATTCGTAAAAACCAATTCTTTATTAGCTAGAAGAAAAGAGTAATCAGAAAATTCTTTTGTAAATTATCTAACAAAAAGACCAACTAAGAGTTACCTACAGTTTGATGTTTATGCTCTAAATTTCGTCTAGAAAAACTAAAATAATATAAATAAAAGTGATCCAAATGACACAGCAGACAAAATGATTATTTAACTAAGATTGACTTTCTAATTGAATTTAAAGTGTTTTGTCCAGTGTGTACTTTATGTTCAACAAAATATTGTGCCATATTATTCAAAACAGAATATTAAGTTGGATAGGTAATAGAGCTTTGAGGGAATATACGCATTAAAAAGATTAACACTTTTCATACAATTTTTCTCATTATTAAATTTGATTAAAGTAAGAACAAAAAACGTAGGTTTTCTTCAGCTGTTTATAACCTAGAAACAATAGTAATAATAATTTACAACTAATGTACCTACTTTGTGCCATATTAATCAAGATCAGTAGAATAATGACAACAAGTATCGCTGAACTATAAAATGGTAGAGTAGATGAGTACTTAAATGTTAATAAATGTGAGGAATTTTGGAATAAATTTTTTTTAATAACATGGAAACATGTTTCTAGACAATGAAAATTGATGTTAAAATCATCTTAAAACAACCTTGAAATTGGATGAATTAGCACATTAAGATGGATTAAGCTCAAAAATGATTCAAGAAGGAAGGAACTTATTTTTGGGAATATGAAATAAGATATTACGTCATTGAATAATGAAAAATAAAAGTTACCAGGGTAATGAGATTTACAACTACATTCATTTGAGTATATACAATCACTTTCAACATTTTAATAGTAATGACCAGAAGGTAACGAAGCAAATTATTTGTTTGAGTCTCAATTATTTTGCACAGTTTTAAAATATCAACATTTTGTTCACTATCAAGCAGATGAGGGGCAATGGTAATGTTGATAACACATTAACCCTTTAATCTTAGTTTTTGTAGGATATTCTGAGAGTTGCGAACGAGCACCTTTCTTCCTATTCTCCAATTTAAAGTGCCCTGGCATGAATATATGAACTAGTAAATAGAAGTGAAGGTAACAAGGGGTAGGATTTTAACCAATTTGTCATTCTCAATAAGCAACTTGTTTAATACAATGGGACCTGTTTAGTAGATGAACACGTCCTTTTAAGTGAAGCTTTTAGTCTAGAATTTATCATCCTAGCTATTGCATCACTTTTAAAGCTAAGTGGTTAAAGGGCTAGATTTTTATCGACTTCAACAAATTTCACTTCCCTCTTTTCTGTTTTCCTATACTTATTGCTAAACTTTTATGGGTAAACAATATCTACCAGATGCTTTCTGACTACAATTAATTCTTATTTAGTCTTCTCTTCCGTATATAATTTCCGTACACAGTTAGATAGTGTTCTAACCAAAACATTTTCGTAGCTTATTGGACAGGAACTATTGAAATTCAAAGAAAATTCACTCCATGTATCTTTTGAATAAGTAGATCTTTCTAGGTAGTCTTTTGAATGGATCTGAATGCCAATTTAAAAAAAAAACAAATTCGTCATAGTATTTGTGTGTAAACCTTACATTAGGGCGCACTTTATTTAAAAGATTTAGTAGGTGATAAGCATATCTATGAATATCGTGAGCAAGACTTCTCTTGTCAGCATACATGACGTAGAGTTTTTTTAATCAACTATCGGATTCATTTTTGTTTGTTCCATTTTTGACATGAATATATCTCCCAGGACTGTCTCCAATGGGCAACCCATAGTGACTCTGTCAACTTGTCGATAAAATGCTTTTTTTTAGACTGAAATCATGTACTTTTAGTGCATGATAGTAAAAACTGTTTGAACTCACCCTTTAATAATGGAAGAAAGCCACTAGGAACATAATGAAATTGTTATACATCTTTAACTATCTATATGTTAATCAAACTTTATCTAGTAAAATCATTTTTGTTTTAAGTACAACATAGTATTCCTATACATTAAGAAAAACACAAAGTTTTCTCATTTGAAGAAATTAGATCTTCAAAATCGATATAATTTTGTATCTCAATCCTCTGGGTTATGACGATACTCCAATTTATTATTCAACTTAGAACTTTAAAATTACTCTTTGTTACAATAAAAAGTCATAAGTCTATGTGTAACAGAACTTTAATAGTTAAGAATATTAATTATTTTGTTTGATTTCTTATAGAATTTGATGAGTGCAAAACTATGAAACATGGTTGTTCACATACTTGTGTCAATACACTTGGAGGTTATCGATGTCAATGTGAGATTGGTTATGAACTACATGCAGATGGGAAACGTTGTGAAGGTAATTAGAATGACCCAATCAAATGACTAAAAATAAACTTTATTTATATAATGAACGAAATTTAATGATTTATCTGATTTCACATTATAGTTCAGTTGTTTCCTATATCTATAAAGTGAAGTAATTTATGGTAGGGTTTACTCATCATAAAAGTTGTTTGTAAAAATAGCTTATTATTAACTGTGTTCAATCGTCAAATATTTAATATCATAAATTATGTTCCCTATTTTCAGATTTAGTAGTGAACTTGTTACCACAGCGAACATTGTTTGCACTAACACATTATCTTTATCACTATACTTTCTCAAACTTTTATTCCTCATCTGACTAAAGAAGACTATTTGTGATTTTATCAGTAGCATTAAAACGAATTTTAAAATGTCAGTTAATTTACTGTTGTGATATTACCAGGGTTATGGATAGTAATGACTTTTAAATGAATGGATATGATCTGACCTTGATTTTTGTTCGTGATTCAAATTCATGTCTTCGCGGTAAAAACAAATTTTCGTAAAATCGTTATTAAATAGATGTGTATTACATCTCACACATTTTAAATCTCATCAGTATGTAAATTAAAATATGGAGTTTTTCCAGTTCATTTTCCCATTTTTATCATTCATAGATAGTTGTGTTAAGTGACATTTTGTCAGCGTAAGACAGGAATTATACAGAAATATAAAGGATCATTTGATATTAACTCAACTTTAACATAGATCCATATAGAATTTATATTAGAAGGGTTTTTTGTGGATATCATAGTAATTTCAATGGTTGAGATCATGAGTCAATTGAAGCTAGACCACTATGGAAAACCCGGAACCATTGGACGGCCACTTGGTCCTAGTGTGGGACTCCTCAGCAGTGCGCATCCACGATCCCGTCTCGCGGGCGAGCGCTTAACCACTAGACCACTGAGCCGGCATCCAACGGTGTTAATGTTTAACTTCAACCAATCCACGAAATTGAGCGACGAATCCACCATTGTCATCAGTGAGTTACTATGTCACAACAGACTCGGTTGAGCTCCACTGGTTACTGTCGCATTTCGAATTAGCATAAATTAAATTAACTGATTCCATTTCACTTTAAAGAGTATTTTGATGAAATATAATGTAAAACAGTTCAGTATTTACCAACGAATGCTATAGTAATTGACTGGATATTTAAAGTAGTGCATAATGATGCATGGAAACACAGTTTGAAACCTAGTATTTGAGATACTCATGAAAAGAAACATATCAAAATGACTTTGTTTTTCTTTTCCATTAAAAAGGACCAGGAATTTCTCATTAAGAATATTTTATACATCTAGATGTTCAAAATCAACTGCAACTGAATTCCATGTCTATATTGATTCTGTTAAGACATTAATTTTCAGCTATGTACAACTTGAACGATGTTTTGAAAATGAGAAAAATTTGAATTATTTCCGTTTACACTTCACAAAATGTATTAGGAAGAAAGTTATAGAACTGATTTCAAAGTTCAGTCGAGATTAGGTTATTTTATTATTTCAACTACATAACATTATAGAATATTATGTTGCTATTGTTACTATATTCGTTGATCAATAACAATATTGATTATACAAGTGACATTATTTTCCATAAATTAGATGCATGTGGAGGGGTAATCAATGAGTCGAATGGTACTATTCAAACGCCTTTGTTTCCTGATTTATATCCACCTAAGAAAAATTGTATCTGGAAAATTTTGGCACCACCTAAAACGACAATTTTTCTTAATTTTACACATTTTAATTTAGAAGGTCATAATGTGAGTTAACTTACAGATATTTCTTATGTCTTAATGTTTTCATTTGTAAACTAAAAAATTCTTCAGTGACGTTGATTTTGAACATATAAACTGGTTAGAAATATTTTTTTTGTTGAATGAATCGTTTCATCGGTTAAATGGTCTATTAGAATCTTTTATACCAAAGCATTTTGCTGATTCCTGTGAAATTCAATACAAAATTACACATTAGATGTTAGTTCAAAACAACCGATGACACTTTGATCTAGTGCTTGTTATTGAAACCGTACAGGTGATGAATTTAGGTCAGAAATGTGTTAAGTGAGTGCTCAATAAAATATTCTATGAAATGAATGATATTGGAACATATAAATTACTGTATTTTATGTGAGACTTACAAAGCTGAGATCCCCATCATAAATAAATAATAAAATCATCCAATCGAAAATGTTATAAGACTTTTACTAGGTATATTCGGGAAATCATTGTGTTCTATTTTCATTCGGTTCTGTCTCTATTTGTTGAAGGTTTCCAAGACATTGTATAATACCATACTTCTTCGTTCTTTAACATATCATATAGAATGATTTGAATTAGACAAATCAACACAGTTATTTGATCCACCACGTGGCTACGAGTTTATTGTTTTTTTACTAGTTTCATGCACACAACGTTATTTCCATTAGTTGTTCTAAAGAGAAGTGATTACTTTAAAGATTGTGTAATAAAGCACCATTTAGAAAATCATTATGTAACCTTTTACGAATTGAATTTGGAATTCGAAAATTTTTGTAAAGTAATTTGATATTAAATTTCTGTACTCCACTCCATCATTTCTACCATTATTAAAGTCCCTTGATCAGACATCAAGATGGGTCAAGAATGAGCAATGCTAATATAATTTTGCATTTGAATACAAAAATCGACAACGAAGCCTTTGTAACTCAATACTAATAATAAGGAAACGGTTTATAAAATTGAGTGATCACTAAGACAGATCAACAAATAGTTCTGGGTTTAGGAATCACTTAATTATTTGCGACGATTACAGAAAAGTAAAGTTTGAAGTCTAGGTTTTAAGAATCAGTTAGTTACTCAAAATGATTACATGGGAATAAAGATGAATAAAGTAAGAAATTAGAGCAGGAGTTGGAATTCATAATGAAAGGATAAGTTCAACATTAGTTAGATGACCAAAGAAGAGAGAAATGTTTTCTCTATATAAAGAATAGGTTTATTAAGATGAATTCCTATGGCTTCTACTTTGTATGGGAGGCGACATCTGGATAAAAAAGAACAAGCCGAATGGAATTGGATACGTAACTTTAAATGTAATATATGTGTCGGTCTTACAGCTTGTGTTGACTAAGTGTGCTGGGATAAAACTTTCTACCGTTTTTCTTTGTTTATAAATATTTCGAATTAAATACACAGACTGTATTAAATGTAAATCCGTCGTTTTTATTTGACTATCGTTTCGGTCAAAACTAACAATGACAGCTTGATTTACAATTGTTCTTTTCCTTGCCTAGCGAGCATGTCGATATGATTTTATCAATGTTTACAATGGTTCAACAGATAATCAACAGAAAATTGGCACATTTTGTGGTGATCAAATACCAGAGCCTATTACATCCCATACAAATGAACTCAGTATTGAATTTTATTCAGATACATCTGTACAGCGTACTGGTTTCAGAGCTGTATTCTTTACTGATCGAGATGAATGTGCTGATAATAACGGAGGTTGTCAACATTTATGTCGAAATACAATAGGATCATACCATTGCGCTTGTCGACCGGGTTTTAATCTTTACGGCAGATATGAATGCAAAGAGAGTAGGTTTCATTCAGTGTTTTAAATTATAACGAGATGGATGTATTCAGTATCATTGAGCTCTCTGCGCTGGATAGTTTAATTGAGAAGCATAGACCATCGGTATCTATCTAAACTGGAAATAAGCATTTTAGATTCACTCAACGAGTGGCAAGTAAGCCACTTGACAGTTAGTATACATATATCCAATCGATAAGGATACAGCATTCGAAAGAAATTCAAATGTCTAGAGTCTTTATGAGCAAACAAACAATAATACGGTAATCACGTTGAACTGATATTTTATTTAAGGGATAATTCTAAAATGTTGATTTCTAGTCCAGGTAGGTATTGTTCACTTAGTTCAGATTGGCAATAAAAGTCTTGCCATAAAACTGCTCACCATAGAAAACTCAACATTACTTTATGCTATGTCTTTATAAATTTATATTTTTAGTTTGTGGATGTTACTATATTAATTGTAAGTAGTTTACTACGGTAAATGATTATTTTTCACTTTAAAAACATTTCTGGTAGCGGTTGTAATTTCTTTTAGTTCAGTGAGAAATATGTGCCTACTCGAAGTAAATTTTGAACGACAATATCTATCCTAGGTGGTCCACCTTAGAAAAAGTGAAAGCTAAATTTTCAATATCAGCACCACACCTTTGGATGATAATGAACTTTTTCACTGCATACTTTAGATGTTGGGTTGTTTCAAATAATCAGCAGCAGTTTATCAATGTATGCTTCGTGTTAGATGATATTCGTCAACAGCAAGTACTTGTGAGATTTGAACCAACTAGTATCAAAATCAGAGGCGTTAAAACGGGGCCATCAGATTCGAAATATCCGTACATCATGACTGGAGTATTTACCACAATCAATCACTGATCAATGAGCAATGTGAAACATCTCTACTCCTTAGCCTTGATTGAATTCTATCGGTTATGTTGTAATGTAGCCATTATATTAGGTAACTGAAGGCTGAGTTCGTTATGTTTCGATGCTAGGTGGTTAGATCTAATCGTCTATAGACCTTGAATCCAAGTATCGTGCATTTCGGTATTCGTCAACTAACCTTTTCTACAAGGACACCCAGTGATCAGTCAGTGTATATTACTTTGTTAGTAAACATGTTCTAAGATTTCTGTAAACAGGATTAATTGATTCTCATTCAGCGAGTAGTGAGTCGCTTACATTACACAGCTTAAATATGACATTTTAGAAATCGAAAAATCGTCAGTAGAATATGGCTTGAGCCATACTGAATTAAGAGTTATAGAAAGAGAATTTACTCTTTAACGTACTGCTTAGTTAAATTCAAAAAATTTACTTCAAAGGCTGCCTCAAACCAAAAAAGTAAAAATCTATAAATTATTATTCCAAACATCATTCATGTAACCCTCTTATGTTTTATGAATATAACTTAATGTTTGAAAATGAATATATTATATTTCCACCTTTCTTGTCAAATTTCTGCTTCATTTAAGACAGACAAATTACTGATTTCAATGCCCTTTTAAGATATTTTTAATGTGTTCATGGGTTTCATCAGGTTTAAAGTAGTGTATTATCATTTTATAACTGAATTCCTAGATGAACGATACGGTCTGATAAAATATGTCTTTCATTTAGACTTTATTGTTTGTAAAGAACTTAATTAATAAGCTATATTAACAAGTAATATAATTACTATTTATGGACTTGAGATATTAATAAAAACTAAATAATTATTTATATAAGATTGAACACAAAACAGATTAGTGATTATTTATTTTCCAAACACCAAACGTTTTAATCTAAGATCGTTCAATATTCAGCAAACAAAACCGTCATGTGTGACGCTTTCACCCTCTCCCCCTAATCAATAAATCACTAATTTTTTGATTGACCAGGAAGTGAATCTCTAATTCCTACTTACTCCATTAATACATTTGAACCAGAGAGTTTTGTTTCATGTTGATTTACTTTATCTCAGTGGAACAATGAGTCTTTTCTATATTTAGCGATGCGAAGTATGGTATAATTTTGATAAAATCCTAATAAAGACAACCACATCTTCAAATACTTTACATCGTGATAATGGTTGATATTGATGCATCAACAATATGGTTTTTCTTGAGGTCAATATCGCTAACGCTTGTATACAGTGTACAGTTTTGAACAATTTTTTTATTGTACATGGTGTCTGGTATAAATTTGATTTTCTCTAAAATGTGAGCAAGTCATTATCTCAGTAGAAGTGAAGTTTATTGGAAAAAAATATCAAAATATTTTAATCAAAATGATAATAAGAGAACTGGAAAGAGATGTCGTTCTCAGCGTCCACTATTGTCTCAATCTGGATCCATATATACTATATATAGCTTTAAATGCCTCCCTAGTCTTGTCGACCAATTGGGCATTTTGACCACAACCAATACCATTGGTATCTTTTTCAACCATACCACAAACATATTAACTCACATGATTGCGCCTAGGAGAGCTAGACACCCGAACATTAGAATTAGTGGTCGCAAAATCTCCAATTATATCTTCTTTATTGTACAATCGATTACCGAATCTCAATTCTGTATGTATGGCCTTCTTTAAGCTATCTTTTCTCTATTTTGGAAGTTTGTTAAATGATATTGTACATCATACTACTCTACAGTCATTAAGTAACAAATTCATCAGTTTAACACTCTACGTGTATTTCATTTTTTACCAAAACTGTTATAAAAGGCCACACATATTTAACACAATTGATAGTCATTATTAATATACTGTATGTGTGATTATTATTTTAAACAAGAATACAACTATTATTACGATTACTATTATTATCATTATTATTATTATTATTATTATTGTTATTATTATTATTAGATTGAAACATTGTACAGTTCAATAGCTTTTTGTTTAAATTATCTCATCGTTGGCGACAAAATTAAGTTAAACAATAGGCAAATATTAATTAGTTTATTTGTATTTTTGATACTTATCTAATTTTTTTTTCAACTCATATCAACAATATGAATAAGATTATCATTGTACGATTAGTATATAATTGTTTTTTTATCTTTGTAATATGAAAAATGATCGGTTTAATATTAAGTTGTCAAGTAATTGGGGTTCATTAATTGCGTGATATGATTCCTGATAATATATTTATATAATGTTACATTGAATTAAGAGTGTGTGTATATGTGTGTTTCATGATTTGGTCACTATCAGTGATAATAAACTGTTCATTATCACTACCATTATTAAATGATCATATGTTTGTACTACTGAATTGCTGTCTCTAAGTAATCTAAGTGAAATTTAGCATTTAAAGAGTTAAAGTATTTTTTTTAATGAATGACTCCCATTTTCTAATCGTTTTTACTTATTTTCATCTGCGTTCCCAAATTATTTGATGAGTAATTTAAGACTGGTTGTCGTCAGTAATTAACACCAATCGCAGAATTCTTGAAATACAAAGAACAATAGACAGTAATTTTATCTTAGTTTAAGTTACTTCATCATTCTGTACCAACAACTCCATACAAGGTTTAGTTTAAAACTCGAAGATCTCAAAGTAAACATCATACTGATGAGCCACCAGACTGAAATCTAATGGTCTAGTTTCTTTCCTTAGCAGTGCTCATCCACTCATCCGTCAAGTGTTAAATTCAGGACAATCAGATTTCTCAATGGACACCTAACCGTTAGAGTCAGTGATTCATAACCCAATGGTAAAATCCTAAGTTCAATCAATTACCAATTTATTATGAAAATCACTTAATTTCACTGATAACATGTGTTTCCCTCCTAATATGTTTGAATTCCATCAGTCACAACTACTCAGTAATCATCTAATAGTTTATATTAAATCCTCTATATTAACTAATTAAGTAGATACTATGATTAAAATTAAATACCATAAGTGAATAATTTCTTCAGTCTACTCATATCAATAATGATGATTAGTCTGATAGAATAAGTGCATTTTTCACCTTTTTTTGAGAATTTGTTTTAATTGATATCGTATAATTCACTGAGCTTGATAGATACAGGTGCCGACTAGGTAACAGAGTTCTACTAATAGTTGTTTTTCTAAAATTATTTACCATCAAAAAAGGTATTTATCGAAAGAAGATACTTAATTAACATTTCAACAGATGTTGGTAATAAGTTTGTAGTATTATTCCGACTGTCTAATGTTGAGAATCATATTTATCGAATTTTTATTAAATCAGCTACTAAGCATTGGTCTTTTTATCCGTTTCTGGTGAATATGGATATCATATCACAAAACTTGGTGATAAATTATCGAAATCATCATTCAATTTGCAAATATTTTAAAAATATCCTCGCTTCTTCAACATATGCCGATTTGAAGAATCAAATCATTAAACATCTGGAATAAGCGGTAACTAAGTTTTGGTTATAATGTAAAAGTCTTGAATAATTGTAACTTAATAAATAAGACAAAATACAATAACTGCGAACAACAGTGTGTTGTAAAGCCAGTCAGTCAGCTACAACGTAGGACCAAGCACATATGTACATCGGTCCAAGTTGCCATACCTCATTACCACAACAAGATGAACACTGAATTCATAGTAGTTAATTCAATGGTAGTAATATATAAAAGAAAGATTGCATATAAGGTTAAAGTACAGGAAGGAAGAATTAGTTCGTAGAAAGAAAGCTATGAAGCAATGTTAATCTCATAGTTTAAGGGAAGACAGAGAGTGTATACACCTACGCCATTGTGATCGATTCTGAGCCATGTCACCCACAGTCTCCAACCATTGGTTACGATAATCATGCGGACCCCAACCAAGTAGTCTGCATCTACCAACATGGCTCAGACTAGAAGTTAGTGACTTCAAGCACTGATGCCATGTTTTGGTTTGGCCGCCCCTAACTTTCTTCTAACCATCTCCAATACCGGATAGCATTGCACGTCGTGGTAATCGGTATTCAGACATACGTAACACGTGGCCCAACCATCTCAGTCGATGAAGATTCACAACCCCATCAACTGGTTTACCATCATTCTCTAATACCCTGCGTCTAACCTCACTATTACTTACCCGATGATCCAAGCAGATGCGAGCAATATTTCTAAGGCATCTGTGGTCAAATACTAGTAGTTTACGAGTATCTTCTACTCTTAATGTGATGTAAAATTAACATATATTTTAAAGGGAACACTTAATGACCAAAAACAACTTACTTCTTTATGGTAATATTACTCTTTTAATATGTAGCTATAAAGATACCAATACGTCAACTTTAATGAACTCAATAACAATTGCATTGTTGACAGTTATTCTAAAGGGAACTAAACCCATACACAAGGTAATTATAGTTGTATTTCTATTTATATCTAAGGTGATACGTAGCATCCGACATCTTTTGCAATAAGTGACACAAATCGCTTAGTAGCTTAGTGGAACTGGATTTTTACCCTAGTGTCAACATCCAATTGATAAGTCACAATCAGAATGAGATGATCATCTTGAATTCCCCCTCTGTCCACAAACAATACAGACTATTATTATTTGAATAATTTCTCAGAGTATAGTGTGAATTCAAAGTAGTATAATTAAATAAAGTATTTAATTATCTCGTTTGCATTTTTCTGAAATCTGTTTAAGATTATCTTATATATCATAAAAACTGCATAGATTTTGATGAGAAATAAATGTTTTTTCCTACTGTTACTGTAATTTATCAATAAATGCTGAGCTTTGCTTTTATGTGAAATATATCTCTAGTTGTCTTTTTTTATTCAATAAAAGAGATCACCGGATCTCCTCTGAGTATTAATGATCAGTTCACCCCTGACTATACTATCATTATATACATGAACTTCGAATTTTAATTATTATTATTCATTTGAACTGATCATTGAAATAGTTTAAATCAATACAGACAGCTTCTTATTCATCCACCCCCCACTCAAACTTCATCTAAATGAAAAACCTTGTTTAAGAGATTTAATGAATTCAAGTAAACAGCCAGTGTGTATAAGTGTGTTTGTAATAACCTTGAAAATGGGATAAGAAGTTTGTATCTCAAAAAGTGACAAACTAACGGGTAAAATGCGTTTACTTGAAACAATGTTGGGAAATTAATTTGTAAATACTGCGTAATATAAACGTTTCTTTGTATATTTAGCCACATCATATTCTTTTACTGAATAATGCTTTAAAAAAACTTTCTTTAAAGTTGTAAGTGAAAATTAACAGAAAAATTCTCTTGTCATAGTTTTTACCTTATTTAGTATGATGATACGTACCTGGATGGATCATTGTTTTTGTTTAACTAGACATTAAAACTGGATGTCAGCAAGATATATCTTCACCCGATGGGGAGATTATCACTCCAAATTGGCCAAATGAATATCCCGTGAAGCAAAATTGTCATTGGAAAATCACTGTAACACCTGGTCATCGAGTGAAAGTTGTAAGTGGTCATTTAGCATAATTAATCTCATTTTACCATAGAACTGTGTATGATATTCATTATAAGGTTTTGATGTATAAATTATTAGATAGGGTACGTTTTCCATATATTGTTGACAAGAATTTATATGTATTTTAGTCGACATATTGTTTGCTTTTAAGGTTTAGTCGTTGAACGTTTCAATGTCAGTCTAGACACTGTCTTCATAGAATACACCTGATTATGGTCATTCGAATTGATAAATGCTTAAATAAACATGAAGACACGCTCGTTAATTATTTAGTAATAACGATAAAATTAATAAGTTAACAATGAATCATAATGTGAATGCAGTAAGAGGATTAAAATGTATTACGGAATGCATCGACGAAAAACTCGCGTTCCTCAGGAAAACTCTAGCGTAAACGACTATCCAAGTTGCTTCATAGAAAAGAATATTTAAAAAAATGTTGGGACAAGGAATCCGGTTCTTTGTCTAGAAGTAATACCTTTATATGAATTTGGAATTTAAAGGTGACCGAACAACTGATGTAACTAAAAATAGGGTAACGGCAGCGATAAAAATAACGATCTATGGGGCAAAACTGCAAATAAAGTTCACTAATGGAAACTTGTTTTCTGTATCTGTAAAGGACAAGCTTCCTCGTCTGGTCGCCTCCATGGACATTTGCCAGTTCACCTGCTCTTGTAGAGCTGGGTACATAGGCCACAGTCAATGCTTGCCTTCAACTCGGATAATAGAACATTTCCCAATGTGGTTCTATAAGAGTGAGAGGAAAGCAGTTAGATATTCCATCCTTGAGCATCTAATCGACTCTGATCATTCTACCGATCCATTGATTGATTTTATGGTTATGTATTCAATTAGTACCAATTTACCCAGACTTATTCGCATCCAACTCCTTAAAATAACAGAGGCTCATACCATCCATGAGCTCAAGATAGAATAGTGCGTACCAAAGAAGTACGTCCTATCGTTATCGTTCCTTTGGTCTTAATCTCTTATTATTATATTATTATTTTTTCCATTTTGTAATCCCCCTTTTCCTTTACTTATGTCTCATATCCTCATGATCTTATTCATAATTATTCATGACATTACCTCATCTAATTTTGCACCTCTATTACATTTAATCACCTTTAGTTACCTTCAGTTATTGCAACAAAATCATTTTGATCCTTTTATTGTACTGTGAAATTCGACTATCTGATTTAGTATTTAGCATAATGAGTAAAAAAGCCTTGATACATAAAAAAAAATCCATTGATATCAAACGAGAAACACTGTTGTATTATGTAAGAAGTAAACATATTTTTCAAGTATATGACTGAAAGCATCACTATCAATAAACATTATCGTCAGTAATAGGATAAAATAATCGAACTGGCTTGAAAAGTTGATTTAAGCAGTTTATCAACCATAGTTTATGGCAAAGAGTTATTGATTCTTAGTAGATTTACTTATTTACTTTTAACTATAATTGTATTGTAGATATTTGCCGATTTTGAACTTGAGTCACATCAACAATGTACATATGATCAAGTTATAGCTTATGATGGACCAACAAATAGTTCCGCTTTTCTTGGTCAATACTGTGGTAGTAGAAAACCTGGCCCAATTATTTCTTCACAGAATCAGTTGTTGCTTACATTTAATTCTGATTCATCTGTACAACGTAAAGGATTTCGAGCTCAACATACTACAAGTCAGTTGAGATATTCTATTAAGAAATACAATAGTGATTATTAGAGTTAGAAATATGAACTACTGAACGCCAACTTAGTGGTCTGAAGGTTAAGTACTGTCCTTCAAGCCTTAATGTTATATGTTTGATCCCTGGTGGGGCTATATTTGGCTACAGCTGAGGATTCCCATTCCAGGACATAATATAATCTACACCTTGTTGTTTGGTGTAATTAAACTTAGAGTTAACTTTATTTACAAATATAAAACTAGAATATTTAACATATCCAGTCATTTTTAAATTATTCTTCATTGTGCGATTAATAAGAACTAAAAATTAGCTCACATCTTTCCTATCCTGTGCTTGCTTCGACAACATACATGTAATAGCTATGTTATAACTATATATAGCACTCAAAATTTCAAGATTTAATCGACAGGATAATCTTTGTAAAGTTGTAAGACTTGGGAACAAAATGAGCCTCAATCGGTCGTAACGTGACATGTCGTAGTTTTACTTATGTTTCTAGGTTGATATTTGTTAATCAGTGGTAGTTTATCAGTAAAAACTCAGATAAATGTTATACAATGATTTATCATATCTGAAGACATTTATCTTGAAATAACTTTATTGTGATATGACTAAAGGTAGCTAGACATAGCTCATGTCGTTGCCAAACAATAAGTACGAATATGGTCGGAGAGATGCAAATAAAGAAAAATACTGCCAGATTGTTACTTCTGGATCACAGAAAACGTTACTAATATGAGTGCTGGTGATTATTTCTATAGATTTTTGTAGTGCAGGTATCTGATTATATTTCGAATCAACCTGGGTTAGTTTTGCAGATACCATTGAATAGTGACATTGACTCTTGGTATGAAAACAAGTTTACCAAGATCGTATGGTCAAGAGATGCTAAAAGCATATAACCCTAAATACGAACCGATTGCTTCGATCGTATCATGATGAAATTTCTATTTTGTTGTCTTTGATCGTCACTTGATGTTTATCTACTTTCGATTCACAGGTAATGATCCCTCCGACACTGTGTTATCAACCTCACTTTTCAATATATTTTAGGCGCATATGTTCGGTTAGTACACCGTGACTACTTTAAGTTTACAGTCATCAAGATAACAGTCTGAAAATAGTTGAGATACTAAAACAGTGAAGATTTGTGCCTTAGGTGGATGCTTTTGCTTGTGACGTATCGTATGATGTGCGCGGTTTAACTGCAAGTCTTTTATTGTCTGTTTAAGTAAACAAATCATCTCTGTATGAATCAAGTACTGATAATACAGTCCAGAAGGGTAATAAAAGCATCACAACAAAATCACCTAACTCAGAAAACACATCATTACCCAAATTTCAAGAAATTAAAAGAAACCAACTTATTTAGAATTTATGCTGTTTTAACACCTTAACAAATAATGGTATGAGATTTTGGCGAGACTCTAATTTATGGACGAGCCAATCAGGAGCGTTTGAACAATTTCAAGGTCACAGAGCCAAGTTCAACACCTGATGCTCACATACGATCTGTTTACAGCGGATTTTAGAGAAGAGGTGATTATTGAGCGGCTACAAGAGATGAGATTACTAAGAAGTTCTTGTACCTATGACTGCGGTTATCAAATGACTGTAGTAAAGTGTGCAGACTACCGTGATGAGATTGCATTTCGTTGTTCTTTATGTTGGAGGAAAAAGTCTGCTCGAACGGGGACTTTCTTCGCTCAATCGCGACTGAAACTGAGGCACATCATGATAATAGTTGCAAATTCGATCATAAAGACACCAGTAACACTGGCTGCGGCGTTTGCAGATGTTACTGAAACTTCAGCAGTCCAGTGGTATGAGTATTGTCGTGACATATGTGCAATCAAAATGACACGTCTACACCAATCATTCAGAGGAGTAGAAAGTATTGTGGAGATAGATGAAACAGTATTGAGAAAGCGAAAATACAACAGGGGAAGTAGTATCAAGGAAGATTGGGTGAGTAGCACTTCCGTAAATATACTTGACAGGTACTTGGAAATTATGATCGATCAACGCAAAAGGGACATTTTCAGAGGGTCAGAAACCGGCAAGCAAGCACAATAATACCAATTATACAGGAATACGTGCAGTCGGGCACTACGGTATATACGGATGATTGGAGAGCTTATAGATGCCTTCATAGACTTGGCTACGTCCATCATGTCGTAGTGCATAAACGTCATTTTGTCGACCCTACTACTGGCGTTCATATTAACAACATTGAAGCCATATGGTCAAGATTGAAGGAATTTTTAAGACTGTACCATGGCTTTAGAGGACGACTATTACGGAGCCATATGGACGAGTTCCTATATCGTATGCATTATGATTTCAGAACATCTGAACCTTTATGAAACCTTAACAAGTTTTTAAATCATGTAAAAGAAGAATATCCACTGTAATTCATTAGTTTCTTATAATATATTTTTACTTTATACTGTCTTCTGATTGGCTAATAATTGTCAAGGTCATTTAAGATTCGTTCAAGGTTCGTCCATACATTAGTCTCGCCGAGATTTTTAGATTAGGAATAAGGTTTTAGAAATGCAAGTTTTTTTGTTTGGTGAGTATTTATATATCAGAAATATGTATTGATTTTCTTAATAACTTTCTCCTAAAGTTTGTGGTGGTCATCTAACTGCTGAAAGTGTTCCGCAAACAATTTATTCTCATGCTAAGTTTGGTGATCTCGATTACGAATCAAATCAACAGTGTTACTGGACAATTACACCAAAATTAGATAATCATACTGTTCTACTGAGATTTCTTTATTTTGAAGTAGAAGAAGAAACACTATGCACGTAAGTTTATTAATCCTGAACAAAAATTATCTATTCTAGTGATTATTTACAATGGGGATAGTCCGGGAATGATGTCTCTGACTGTAGTAGGCAAACAGCCCGGCTTCTCCCAAATGCCCTGAACAGATCGAGTAAAAGCGATGACTTCTGCTATAACAGAACGAATATCATAAAATTTGGTACTGATTTCCCAAATTATCTGTGGATTGGTTGAAGTTAGACATTAACACCGTTGGATGCCGGCTCAGTGGTCTAATGGTTAAGTGCTCGCGCGCGAAGCCAGTAGGTCCTGGGTTCGAGCCCCGGGTGGTGCGGGGTCGTGGATGCGCACTGCTGAGGAGTCCCATACTAGGACGAAACGGCCGTCCAGTGCTTCCAGGTTTTCAATGGTGGTCTAGCTTCAACTGACTCATGATTTCAATCTGTGAGATTTTTATTTTGTTGAATAACTAATTATTAACTAGAATACTATGTTTATGCATTCCATTTATCATAAGCTTTCAGTTAATCCATGAACTACTATCATACGACTTACTGTTCCCAATTTCTCAGTCTATTATTTACAGTCTCTCCAGTTCACAGTCACCTTGGTTTGTTTATATACAGTTATTATCTATTTTATGATGTGTTGCTGTCCAGTATGTCTGTATATCAACCACATCTGCTTGAAATAAAGATATAGTAGAAGCTGGTTGTACATGTATTCCACATTTGTAGAGGAATGAGTGGAGTATGAACTTGTTTTTGCCATCCGCTACAAGAAAAGTACACCTTCTGAAGGTACTTCACTGCCTTTCGAAAAAGCCTTCAAATTAAAGACGCAATCACATTCCCAAGACGGTGTCACAATCCTCTCATAAGTTGTGTCACATACCTCAGCGGAAAGATATTCTTCTATTTTGACATAAGAGGTGATCTCTTCCTCTTGAAAATAATAAACAAGTTGCTATTTTCAGAAATGACAATAAAGTATATTCAGATGTTTTTGGAGATCTAGCAGCGATGTTGCCTTAATGTACTTCGAACCTAAATAATTCAGAAAGCTAGATCAGTCAGTCAGTAACAAAGTAGAACTTCGTACGTACGTACATCATTTCGAGTTGCCATACCACATTAGCACAGAGGTGCAGTTGTCGATTAAAATCCCGTAGTAAGAGTATAAGCGGTAATCCGAAAGATTAGGGTTTGAAGATGTTATTCAAGGAGTATAATCCAGTTAAATAAATTTGGGAAGAGAAAAAAAGAGACAAGGAGAATCCAGCCTATTAGAATTTGGAAGAACACAAAGAGTGGATGCACTGCGCCATTCCAAACGATTTTGAGCCGTGTCATTCAAGGTCTCTAACCATCGGTTGCTATCATCTCGCGGTCCCCAACCAGATAGTCTACATCTACCAACATGGCTCAGCCCACTTGTCAGTGACTTCATGGATTTGTGCCATGTTTTGGTCTGGCCGCCCCTAGCTTTCTTCCAACCCACTCCTACACCAGTGAACATCGCATGTCGAGACAGTCGGTCGTTGGGCATACGTAACACATGTCCCAGTCATCTCAACTGATGAAGTTTCACTACTTCATCATTTTTTTGCCATCCTTACCTAGTACTCGTTTTCTAACAACTGCGTTACTTACTCGGTGGTTCCAGGATATACGAGCGATGTTTCGAAGACACCTATGATCGAATATTAGTAACCTACGAGTATTCTATACTCTTACCAACCATGTTTCACTGCCATAAAGTAGGACAGAACGAACTGTTGGGCAGTAAACACGTCCTTTGGTTGATAGACGGATGTCTCGCCTACTCCATAAATGACGCAAGTTGGCGAAAGCTAGTCGAGCCTTCTGTATCCGTGCTGAGATTTCGTCACACACCAAACCACAAGGGCTGATGAGACTTCCAAGATAAGTGAAGCGGTCGACATGCTCAACTACTTCACTCCCAATCACTAGTTCGGGTGTCGATGTAACCCAATCCTGAAGCAACATTTTGCATTTCGAGGAGGAGAATCGCATCCCGAACATGCTTGCATTGTTGCTTATAGTGGTCAGAAGACTGAATTTTGTCAGCGTCTTCACCAAACAGAACTATGTTATCGGCATATTCTAAGTCAACAAGTGAATCTCCCGGTAGAAGTTCAACTCCTGGAAATTTAGATGAAAAAAGTATTATCTCTAAAAGCATGTCAACGAAATAGTTAAACAAGAATGGAGAGAGTGGACAACCCTGACGAACACCACTTGAGGTTATCAATTCTGATGACAGTTCGCCATAAGCTCTCACTCGACCAGTTATGTTCGAGTAGAGAGCCTTCACAAGGTTAATGTACATCTTTGGTACTCCTTTCAGTGACAAACACTACCACAGAACCTCACGATCGACAGAGTCAAATGCCGCCTTAAGGTCGAGAAATACGATTGAGGGGCGTCTGAATGTATGTCTATGTTCTAGGACCTGATGTAGTGTGAATATCTGGTCTATACAACCACGTCCAGGTTGAAAACCAGCCTGATTTTCTCTAGTCTGCTCTTCACGAGCTTTGATTAGGCGTCGGAGTATTATTGAAGCTAATATTTTAGACACTATCTTAGTCAAGCTGATTCTTCTGTGATTGTCACAAGAAGACTTATGTCCTTTTTTATAGACTGGCACAATCAGTGATTGAGACCAGTCAGATGGGATTACGTCCAGTTCCCAAATTCTACCTAAGACCTAAGTCAATCTCGCTACTAATACTGGACCTCCATCCTTAAAAATCTCAGGGGTAAACCTGTCAAGGCCTGTTGCTAGATAGAAAGCAGTGATTTCCGTTTATTCATCAATATTTATTGAAATTAGGAAGATCTATAAATGACACTTAATCCGTCGTCACAGAAGACATTTATATCCTGATTAGACTGTCCATAACAAAAGGTGAGGTCTCTCGAAATTTTCAAGTATTTTCTATATTCGGCTTCTGTTAATAGCATCGATCAGATCTTACCTATTTCTCCGTAAAATTACTACTGATTTGATATAGATTCGAGAGTATTTCAACCCATTCAAATAATCAACCTCAAGCAGAAAGACTATTAGCTATCTGTGAAAAGATTTGTAGTGTTTATTTTTTTGTCTCACCGATTGCCCAGTATTTTAGTAAGGTATACAATACATTTTATTTTAGAATTTTGGTATGTCTGTACCCCAATCTATGTTTGAATTATCTGTGGGGGGATCAAATGCATTTCCAAACTACCATCTGAATCACATTGCCCCATATGATGAATTAAGTAGTTCATTATATACATATATACTTATCGTTAGGTATAAACGAACATTTTACTCTTAAGCAACATGAGTGAAGGTATAGAAATAATTTGTCTGTAAATTAGTTGAAAGCTGAAATTCTCATTCCAGAAATTCTTAAAATTATCTTTAACATTTATTATTCATTCTTGTTTCTTTGTTTCTTTGTAATCGTTATGAAATTACATCATGCCTGTTAACATCCTCGTATTATTCAGGTACGACTATCTTCGAGTTTTCGATGGAGGTGATCCTAAAGGAAAACTTCTGGGTGGATTTTGTGGGAGAACTGTGAGTGAATGGGCATTTTTTGAAAAATGTTTTTTTTAATAGTTACTAGCCATATCTTTGTCTTTTGTTATGCATCCACTTTTTTCCCGGATATGATTAAAGCTACTGCTGTTTTTTCATTTTAGCTCTAACAATAAATTTTGAGGGTATAACCATCTTTTTTTAATTGTAGTCTTTGACTTGAGTGTTGTCTAGGTGAGTGCTTCTTCTACCCAAATATAAAGTATTTTGAGTAACAAATAATCTATGACTGTAACTGCATTCGAACTTCATTTTAAACGGGTGACAGTGTGGTTACTAGAACTCATTCTTCATAAAAAGACAGTCACTGTACAAATTATTGGCTCTTAAATCTGTCCTGAAACAATAAATAACTGACTATACTGTTTTTAAAATTATTAATATTATTGGGTGATAGGTTTGAGGAGTGCAAAAAAGGGAAGGGACGGAAATTTGTTCATCAGTGCGGAGGCGAGTGTGAATAACAAATTTGAACAACAGTTGTTTTCATGTTGAAAATAGTGAATTTCACGTAGATTTTTTCGAATGCTAGGAAGAAATACTCGCAAAGTGTATCACTGATAAAGTTAGAAGATCATGCAGGAAGGGGTAAGAAAATTATATCCTTTAAATTGATATTTTATTTGTTCATGAATTCGATTTCCAACTGAACTGAACACTCCATCTTTATATTATTACCTTAGAACACTCTTGTTTATAGCTCTGCTCTCTTCCAGTTTTTCTCTTCGGCAAACATTTTCTTCACTGACAATAATTGTTCTTCCAAACAGCAATAATCCCCAATAAATTTGCAAAATAAACTTTAGCTACTCACAAGTAGTACTAAATCATTTCAGTTACAATTATAGACACCCGATACAACTGGTGAATTTCACTCAAATATAACAACAAAAATAAACGAAATACGATGTCATAAATCTTTATTTAAATAACCTAAAATAAAGCGATATAAAAACTTAAATCCTTTTTTATAGTTTTTTCTTCAGTTTACTACTTATGGTAATTTCAGTGTGAATTGATGCTTTTATGTATTTAGTGTTTTAATATAATTCTGTGATTCGGATGGAAGTCGTGATAAAACCCAATGAGATAACAAGTAAATTTGATTCTAGCATGATAAGAAATTGAAATTATAGTTAGGAGGAATTTCTTCCATTTCACTTGAAGTGTGCTTTCCATTCATAAGATAGTTTAATAATTCTAAAAATATTTATCTGTTTAAATCCTTGAATGACAAGAGCATTATATTGTACACATGTTCCCATCCGAACTAAATTAATACTTGTCACAGCATATGTAGTAATTATGACAATATATCATTGGTGAGTTTTCTTGTCATTAGATTTAGAAGGGATTTCTTCGCCCTCACATTTTTTTAACAAAAAATACGATCGATAAAAAGTTATTCTTGTTCATTATAGCGTTTCTTTTTTCCAGATGATTCTATGTGAACTGATATCTGATGGATAATAAATATTTGCTTTTCATGAGCTAACTTTAAGATTGGTTCTTGAATTTTTAGTAAGAAACTAGGACTGGCGAGTTTGAATCATGTAGGATGTAAGGCAGTTTCTGATCGATGCCATCGTATGATCATTACGTTGTATTACAAATTGATTGCACTCAGAAAAATTGACTTTTGGACACCGACTTAGTAGTATGAAGGCATGACGCGCAACATGGGACTTAAAGGTACCACGCTCAATCCCTGGTGGTGTATTAAGCGAATATTACTTAGAAACTCTAAAATATAACGAATCATCTGTTCAAAGCTCAATCACCTTCAGTAATTCTCCAATTAATATCATTTTGTTATGGGAACCCGCTTTTAGATTGAACTAACCCCAACTTATATAACTACTTTGATTCAAAACGAGTTTGGAAATTAAAGAAAAGCAAAATTCTGAAGAAGTCCAATATACTACTTAACAATATGTATTTATATTCTTAATGTAGTAACTTTCTACATTATATTTATGTAAATAAAATAATAATAAGTGAATGGATTTTAACAATGGAATAACTACTCTTGAATAATGATGGATGTGATAATAATAATAAGCAGAAAACATAAAAGAATGTAAATTTGTCATGTTTATGAAATAAAAATAATATAGGATGGTTTTTTATAAATTCCTTTATTTAATTATCAAGACGAATACAATGGTGAAACACTGAGCTCTCCCCTATTTCCACTTTAATGTATCTAGTTCTTTTAGATTGTCATATAATTCTAATACATTGTCTACATGAAATACTCTAATGTATTGTAAATGCAGTGAAACAAAGATTACTACTACTGTAGTGAATAAACACTCAGGTGGGGGGACCAGTTTGTTGATTGATGCATAATCACATGGTCGTTTAGTAAAATGTGAAAATCACACATCAAATACATCATTTGTAAATTTTCTTTGAAGTGTCTCTTACAAGCTTCGCTGTTCCTTCATCCCTGTTTTTATCTTGATGGCTTTCAGTTCCCTTCTCTTTTCTCTTCATTTTAATATTCTCGACCTTCTGCTCGCAGGCATTCTACTACTGACTGGCGGTGGTATACTACTACTACAATTATTATTATTACTACTACCACTACTACCATATATATACACTAAGGATTTGTATAATTTGACTGTTTGTTGATATTATTTAGACAAGTTGTCTAAACATAAATTCTATTAAACTTTTCTTTATTATCAATGTTCTTTCAATACATTGGTGTAAACTTACACACACTCAGGATATGCACGCACATGCAAAATCAGAAAATCCGATTTAAATAAAGGAAAAATTTTTATCATTTCAGATGGGCACTAATACGTGTACACGAGCTTACATACATGTACACAGACAATTAAATGCACACACACACACACAGAAACCAAAATGCTTATCGGTTTATTTTCTATAGAAAATAAATGAGAATATCAACCACTTGGAGATGTACATTGATTACCCCTGCTATGATTTATCTAAACAGCCGAAACATCAATTATCATAAATTTTAATGGAAAATCATTCAAAACTATTATTATTCTATAACCATTCTCCCAGACTACATAATTTTTGTTTTCACAAGATTTTCACTTAGTTGGAAATTATTATGTTGTAAAATGTACATTTTTTTTTCAGAAAATATATTAATGGTTTAATCGTTTTGACCAACAGGTTACTTAGTTAATTGATCTTAGTTGCTATGATCATTTCTGTTGATAAATTTGACTACTGTCAAATCACTGCTAAAAATAGTTCTTCCCCCCATAAAACATATGATTTCTGTCAACGTCTACAAATATAGTCTAAATGAATTGCTCGGATTGTGATAATTTTATTTGACTAGACAAATAATCTCTACTATAGTTATATGTCTCAATCACACACACGCACACACATTAGTATTGAATCCCGAAATAGCTTGAATAATAAATTCAATAGTTTACTAACCATACTGTTCATGTGTTCAGATCAAAAGTTTGTTTTTAGTAAGATCTAAGAAAGAAACACACACAAAAAAAACAAGTAAACAAACGACTTTTTTAAGTCTAAAATAGTATTGACAATTATTTACTTCACACACTTTTAAAAAGTGACGATTTTTATATTCAATCTCCAATGGCAATCAATGAAAACTGCACAGAAACTAAAGTAAGACGAAAAATAAATAAATATTTATAATAAATCTATGAAATTATAAATAGCTCCCATTTGTCAACCTGTTAATCCAATTAATATTACAATCATAGTTTTTCTTAGTAGTATATGAATGGGGGGTTTTTGATAATGGTAACATAAATACGTTCTATCAGGGGTACTTCCTGTCACCAGTTAAAATGTAACAATTAATTGGGAAAAATAATCAACTGAATCTACCTGTCTAACTTTACCAACAGTAATAAATATTATAAGAGAGAATGCTAAAAAAATTAGCTCAGTTGTCAAATGAGTGCTTGTTTCGAATATTTAGAAAATCATGATTATTATTATTATTATCATTATTATTATTATTACCATGATTATAAATAGTAACATTAAACTTGTCAATATTATCACTAAGAGATGAAAATGAAATATATGCAGAAAATGACCAGTTCATGAAACAATTGAAATAATGGTTCCTACTGCTATTAAGATAATAAATTTGGATAAAATTAAACTGATTATGTTGATGAACTAGTAGTGGTAGTGGTGGTGGTGGTGTTTGTAACGATTTTGGTACCATTTCGTGCAAATTTGTTTTAAAAAACTGAACATACCAATGGTCACGCAATATCACAAATTAGCTGTAGTTATAAAATATAAACCATTGGATAACAGCTTAGTGATACAAAAGTTCGTTACTGGTACCAAAGCCTGCAGGTCCAAGATTTGTTCTTTGGTAGAATCATGAATGCTGAGAAGTCCTATAGTAGTGCGAAATTGAACTCTAATCCTTCTTGATTTTCAGTGGTAAGATCCAATAATCTAAAGTACAACAATAAATATTGACTTAATTTTTTTCATTTATTACCAGCCGACATTTTCCATATAGCATCTAGTATATTCAATACCAACGTTTAAATGGCCTGAATATCTATTCAATGAATTGACGATCCTGAATAGATTTGCAGATAAAATTACTGCGTAGTTAAAGCAATAAAGTATTTTGTAGATACCATATTTCAATAGATCTACTTCAAGAAATTTTGTCAAGTATTTAAATGTTTCTGCATTTGCGGAAAACACTAACCATACAAAACACCTGTTCAATATTCCAATTTTGTTTGTTATGCTGGTTATTATCTATGATATGCAAATAAATGAAACTATTAGTCTTTTCTTCATATTATTTTCTTCTTGTCAAAGTTACCGAATACATTTTTGTCAAATTCTGGACAACTGTATCTTCAGTTTGTTAGCGATGATACAATTGGTGGTAAAGGTTTTCAAGCACAATATCAAATGATTCCATATGATTTTAAATTACCGAAGCATGAAATCGATTCACAAGTGTTAATCAATCAAATACCATCTCATTCATCTTCCTCTTCTTCTTCATCTTCCTCATCATCATCTCCATCATCAGTTTATTATGGTAAAAACGAAATGTTACAGCAATATCAACCATTTCATGGTAATCGTTATTTATTTCCACCAGCATGGGGCACCGGAAGGATTCGTTATTTTGGTGATATGCGTAGTTCTGAAATGACTGAAAATTATCAATCTACTCGACCATTTAATTATAATCCGTCATATCAACATGCAAAACACTCATCAACTATACAACAGACAAATCCTATGATCTACTCACAAAATAATATTTATCAACGTCGCGATGGAAGACTTCCTGTTAATCGAGATAATTCCCAATTACCTTGGCGATTCGCTTATACCTATCCACAAGCTAAAAGTTCATCAACTATAACTGCTACTAATAATCTTTTCAGATCCAGTCCGTCATACACAACATATAATTCCCGTTCATCTAAGCAAACTTCAAGTCAAAATAGATCACCAGCAGAATTTCTACATACAACTATGCGACCAGTTTCTCCTTTACTATCGCAAAATGCAATAAATTCAAGAAATCCACGTATAAGTAGTACATGGCATGTACGACCTGGTCGTATTGTACACCAACCTCAATTAAATATCATTAACAGAATAATTCAACCAAATTCAAAAAATTACCAATCTTCACCACGTGATATTCTTCGACAAGTAAAATCACATTCGTATCAACGGAAACAAACAGAACAAAATCACAAAAGTCCTATGCGTTTTCATGTAGTCACTCAAAGGAATCGAAGCCCACCATTGTTTTCCGGTGGTAGCCAATGGAAACAGAGAAGTATGCCTTTGAGTAGTAGATCACGTTGGGATGATAATAGAGCTATTAAAGCATTTTAATTATTAAATATAAATTATAGTATTGCTTCATTTTCTTCTACAAATGCCTCAATTTTTTTTTCTGGTTTTGTTTTAACTTTATCTAAATTCATAGACGGAATTGATTGTAATGAAAATTAAAAGAAGTTTATTTTTGCATAAAGAGAATTTTATTTGTGAGACAATTAAATCTTTAAGGTTTTGTTTAAATGAAACGAAATAAGTTAACTGTTCAATAGATAAACGACGTTTAATGATTTCAAGAATAGCTGGAATTACAATCTTATAATAACTAAATTAGTTATTAATTTTAAATGAAAATAATAATCTATTCCCTATTGCATTTTGTATAATAATTAAAAAGACTATCACTACTGTTAAATTAGGTAATGTTTATTCGATTATGTTAACATACAATTAGAAACATGACAAATATATTTGGTGTGGATATGTATTGCATTTTATTATTATTATTCTATTACTCTCATTTATTGTAATTTATTCACTCCATATTTCCATGTTTCCATTTGTTTCTCGATTGTTCTTTTTTTTGCATAAAAAAAATAAGTAAAGTAAATAAAGATGAACACACAATTTAAAACAAACAAACAAACGAATAACCTTTGTATGTAATTTTAAGATTCGTATACGAAATCATTTGAAATTTAAACTTCTTGAATAAATATTGTGATGTAATTAATATTAGTTGAAGCTTTTGTTTATTTCAATGAAAGGTAAATGTGCTAATGAACTGCTGAATAATTTCGCTGGTTTCTATTATTTAATATGAATTTTAATAGTTGAATTCATGGGTCAATTAAGACTAGACCATTATGGAAAACCTGGAGGCATTGGACGGCCGTTCTATCCTATTGTGAGACTCCTCAACTGATAGGTCCTGATTTTGAGTCTCGTGAGGCGGGGTTGTGGATTCGCACTGTTGAGGATTCCCATACTAAGATGAAACGGTCGTCCAATGCTTCCAGGTTTTCCATGGTGGTCTCGCTTTAATTGACAGATGAATTCAACTATTAAAATTACTATAATGTCCACAAAACCTCTCTCTATTAAATATGAATATAAAACTAATACTACTGATACTACAACCACTACCACTACTACTACTATGTAGTTTTAAACTAGGGGATAATATTATGACATTAGAAATATAAACGATATTTTTCTCCCAAATTAAAATTAAAATGGAAAACTGTTTTTCTAATAGTGATTTATAAACAGATGAAATGTCAGTTTCCCACTCTAAACAACATTTACATTTACTCACCTAATAGAATATTACCGTCGATAAATGATAATTTACTTTATTCATATGTAAAGATAATTTCATCATTTTTTCTAAGTAAACAAGTTGGAATTTTAAGATCAAGACATAACTAAAACTACGAGATAATCACTGGACAAGATTAAATTGAAACGAACATTGTGGACTCTATTGTTAACTACAAATCAATATTAAGCCAAATAGTTGTTATACATATATATGAGTTATGTCAAGGCATCAGCTTACGATTCACATAGATTTTGTTTTAGTAATATTGTATTCCATGAGCTAGATGATTTAACTAATAACCATTTAGTGTCATTCTGGATAACATCATCAGCGCTAATAACAGACTAGACAAACTGACTTGATTGTCAAAAGAAGATTGGTTAAAAAATTCGTTTAATATCAGAGCATAAAGATATGGATTATGAATATTCTTTTTGATGAATTCTTATCAGATTCTATAGTTATAAATCAACAGTAATGTTTTAGAGGGATGTTCAAGTGTTAGGTAAATATTTAAAAAAATATATGAATGTACAGCTGTTGGTAAAATGTGTTAACCGGAGTTGGTAAATGTGGAACTAGCAAGTGTATAGTGAATATCTGTTTCAGGTTGTAAAACAACTGAAATTAATCGGAGCAACACAAGGATAACATACTGTTAGACAAATAGTAATGTAATTGACAACTACTTTGATAATTGTAATTGAGTAGAACTGACATAAGTTATGTATATTGGTCAAATTGGGCCCTTCGAGATGGTTATTTGCTTATTAGGCTTAAGATTAACTAAGTGGTAGCCTGCGAGAGTGAAGGTCTTAGGTTTGGTTCCCAGTGGGGTAGTGGATTCCCAATGCTGAACAGTCCCATATTAGCAAGAGATACTCGTCCAGTGTTTTCAATAATGGTATGGCTTAGGTCATTTTATTACTTCAACTATAAAAAATCGTAATTCTACAGCTAATTATGCTTCGACTTATTAGAGAAATTTCAGTGGAAACAGATGAACTTGAGAGATTGAGCAACAGTTTTTGTTACAATTGGCCGAGATTAGTATTATTGTGACCTTTGCACACACCTATTCCTTTGTGGTCTTTGTAATATGGCAGTGCGACCTAATTCACATCCCTTATTGTGTGCTTTGTTTTTTACAATTCTAAATATACTATGGTGTTTACCGATATAATTTTCTTGCATGTGGCATAAAAATTTACCTAAAGTCTCATCTCCCTTCTCACTCGCTTGCGGTTGTCATCATGGATGCCCTATTGTACATGAGTCGTTATTCTAGCTAGCAACATAAATTGGTTTTGGAATCAGAGGAAACTGCAGTCATCCGTACTTTGGATTCAAACAATGTAAACCCGCAATAATGGAGACAAGTGATGATTATGCATATAAATGCAGAAAAGCTTGAACGTCTACTTAAATAATAGCTCATATCGATACAGATGTTTTTAATGCTTTCCTTGAAACAAATCATATCAGTCTACTTGATATTGTAAAACTATTGCATTTTTAAGTCTAAGATTTCCACAAATTGTCACAATTATTTAAGGTTACGACCAAGGCAAATTACAAATATCTAAGAAAGGATATTTAGTAAAATAAGGAAATAAACAATGGTATTTGTGGGACAAAATGGATTGGTTTATGTTCGGCAATTTTCACACTGCTTACATTAATTCCATCAGGTTTAAGTATTCTTTTCAAGATTACTAGAAATGAAACGGAGAGAGCGTTGTTTACTCAAACTGAACTTGGAAACATAATAGCTGTTAAAAAGTTATTTGCTACAGGTGCAGAGTTATACAACGCATTTGCATCAATAATAGAACCTTTCAAATTGAAGTATAAACTACAATGACACCACAAGTGACCTTACTCTCACCCTTGTTTGAGAGTGTCCTCAGTCATGTATATTATGAAAAGCGTACTATTTGTCATAAAGTTAAATATTTTGTACTTCCATCAAATTTAGTGTGAATTCCGTTTATTATCGATGTTATTAAAACTAGTCAAGTAAATAGTGCGAAACATACATCGAACTCATTGAAGTTTAGTATCTACGTTGTAAATTATCGGCGCCTTTTCTTATACCTAGATTCTTCCTTATCATACCAGAAGTAGGATGTTTTTCTTCGAGGCGACGAACGCAAACCACCTCAAAAAAGACAATCTCAAAGGCTTTGAAGTCATCAATGATTATTTTGTTCCACTTGTGATCTGAGATAGCCTTGCTCAACTTTATTAATTTATTTGATTTATCTTTTTATAAGGATTTAAGATTTAAAATGTAATTCATGAAATACTGTTTATTCCGAAGAATAAATGTGTATTGAGGTAATCAAACTAACCTCACATCTTGAATAAATGAAGGCTACCATGAATTTGTAGGTTGATAGATAACGTCCTAATATTTAAAGCGATAAAAACTGTATTCGAGTCTCTATGCATCCAGGTGAAGAGTCCCGAAAAAGACGAAACTCGCATCTGGGATTTCGTTTCTAGTTATCACTTCAAGTTTAATCATATTTACCGTATAGTGCTTGAAATCGAAAGGGATAATCTTATGTTACTTTACTAGGTGTCTAAATTATATCCGTTAATTAGTAGACTTTGATCAGTAATTAGAGTTTGAGCATAACTGGTTCCCTATCAGCAAAACAGTCTGGTTATATTAGGAGTGATTGTTGGTGTAATAGAAGTAGGTATAACTTTGTAACGGTAGATGGATGAGACATTGATAAGTGAATTACCAAGCTTAAAATACAAAAAATAAATAAGTTTATATCAGTCTTCATTTAGACTCCAAACTTGTAAAATGTGCAAGCATTTTAATTAGTATTCCTAATAAATATTGCAATTTTACGTAGTAGGCAATATCTCAGAAACTTTATAATATTTTTCATCATGGACTAACATCAGCTTTAGAATAATTGAGAATCAAATGGGGACCTTGACAGTTGTTTTATCGTTGTTTGAAACTGCTTAATGCTACTGAACTTAATTTTCGATTGTTACCCAATAAACATCCAAAATATTCACTTCAGACTTATCTAAAATATATTCACTTTCTTTGGATAAAGGATTTTGTATGAGAGAATATCAGTCTACAAGTTTTTTTTAAGTGATGTATGAATCAGGCTGAGTATCAGAATAAATATGTCTTTAAAGCAGTATTTCCTATTCTAAAGTGAACTACACTATTTATTCAATTATGTGAACTAATAACGCTGAAAAATCACTGTTTTCATCCTTCCCAATTTTTATAAGAAAACACTGTCATGCATACAAACCAGTAAAATTAGCTCTTTTAGCGTATCACATATCCATTAGAAAAATCGAGATCAGGTGAAAACCCTAACAAGCATGGGATGTCAGACAGAAACCAACTTCAATTTATGGTTTCTAGTATTCAACAAAGTCTATTAACTAAATTATGTATTGTGGTGAAGCTAGATAAATCTCATTCAATGTTAAATATCGGGATTTAATAGATGGAAAGCCTTTGATCTAAGTTTAGATCTTGTAGACGAAATGTTACCATAACTTCCGGAAATAAACTTTCAGAATCATAACGCATGATCTGGACACTGAATAAAGATTGTGCAAGTTAATTTAATCGAAACTGACAGTTAGAAAACAGGAAAAATACAAAAAGCTTTGGTATTCCAATACACAATTTCCTTTAATGTTTGATAAATGAAAACCAATCACAGTTACTTTACTAGCACTTAAACAAAGTCAGTCCCTTCTAAAGAATAGATGAACTGTTGTTCGTAGTAGAATCCAGGATGTACGACTCGTCAGCTGAGTATATCTGTATCCCATTGTTGACGTCCATACAAGGGATTCGAACCCTGTACCTTTTACTAGTGAATCCAGATAACTACTAACTTATTCAACGAGTATACTGTTTAAATCATTATTCGTAAGGGTTATCAACAATAGAATAATTCAAATCCACACCAGTCGGTCCTTCTGTTAAATTTAAGTAATATGAAGAGAAAGTAATGTTTACTTAAACATATGAAATGTGTAAAGAATTTTAAATCTATTCACCTAATCTTTCCACTTTAATCTGATCTGAAAAGATTAAAAACCAAGCAGATTCTTTGTTGTTTCTTTTTAATAACAAGAGTTTTTATATAGAATGAGTATCAATGTTTCAAAAAAACAAACACTATGTTACATACTGTATCGTTTAAACTCATAGGAATTAATTAACTTAACTATGTTTAAATAAAGAAATAATAATTCTCTGATTAAACATCTTTTCTTTTAGTGTAAATAATAAAAGAACAAAACAATCTAGTACAATGTTCATTTGTGAACTAGGTATCTATTAGTAGTCTATCTTTGCATACTTTCTAAACATATGTCAATGAATTGTGACCTCTGCTATTTAACGT